ACTATAATTTGTAAAAAGAATTAATTTGAACCCGTCAAATTTGAATCATATACATCTTTTCGTAATAGTGCACCCATCTTATTGAAATATAAATTATAGTTTCACCTTTCTTTTGGAGTAGACTACAATGGCAAGTTAGACATATAAACTGAAACAAATATACAGTCAAACCTCTTTATAACAGTCTCGTTTGTTCAAGATATTTTTGGATATTATAGTGAATTGTTGTTAAATAAAACATATACTATAACAAAACATGAAATTTGGTTTCGAAAAAACTTGACTTTTATAGTGAAGTGCTGTTATATAACGATACTGTTATAATGAGGTCTAGAGGTCTAATAAGGTGTATAAGAACAGTGTTTTATGTAGGGATTAGTAATGCATGGGTTAGTAATGCAAGCATTAATTATGCAGATATTATTTCTTATTCATTGTTTGGTGTGGTGTATTAAAATTGATATCCATAAAATAATATTTAAGAAAATTATTTGTTTACAAAAATGTCCTTCATATTCTGTAGCTTTAAGGGACTTTAAGGATAATTTTGCCTTTAACCATGCTAATGCATGCATTAATAGCCTTGGTATTGCTAATACCATATTTTTGCTATGCATTAGTTATACATAGGATAATATCAAATATGGTGTATAACTAATGCTTGTATTAGTTATACATAGGTTGAAAAAAGTATACCAAATAAGATTTTACTAATACACAAAGTTAATGCATGCATTATTTTCCGGCAAAATAGCCTAGGAGACACTTGTACTTGTTCTGGTTTGTCATCGCGGTCCCTACACTCCATAAAGTTTCATCCAGACACTTCAACTTAATCAAACAAGACTTTTAAACCCTTCTAACCGTTAACCGAGTGTATGTGGCATTGATATGGCTGAAGTGGACAAAATGAGTGATTTACACGCACATTAGGTGCGTGAGCTGATGATTTTTCTTTATTAAAAAAATAAAAATTAATAAATAAATAAATAAAAAATACTACCAGCGATTCCCCCCTCGTTCTGCTTCCCCCTCCCCCCCTCCCCTCCGGTCTTCTTCTTCAGCCAAATCAAATACTACAAACGATATTAGATTCTTCACTAATCATCTATTTTGGTCTGACCACTTTGCTCATCTCAAGCAAAAAGGATAAGACCACTTCAGGAGTTCGTTCTGACCACCCCCCCCTCCCCCCCGCCTCTGTTCCCCGTCTTCTTCTTTAGATCCCCTCCCTTCCCCTTTTTCTTCATCTTTCTTCATCCCTTCTTTCATTCGATTTTCTCCTAGGTGTGTATTTCTTCTTCCATCATGTTATATTCCCCTTCTCTATGACTCCTCCATTTTTTCCGGTAATTTCAGCTTTCAAATTTTTTCATAGCCCTTCCAAATTGGGGTAGAGGAATAAGTCTAAATTCATGAGAGTTAATTCTCTGTTCATATATTTTTCATGGATAGATAACTTTCTTTAAAAGATGAGTGAAGGAAGTAGTGGTACTCATGGTGGAGGAGTCATGGCAGTGGGTTATTCTTTTAAGAAAGTTGAGTGGGTGAGTTTGAAGAAGGGAGGAGGGGTTTTCTTTAATTTTAGTTTTACCTTTTTGCTTTATTTATTTTATTTTTTGTTTATGAAATTAAAATTTTGTTAAATAATATTATTTTGGCATAGAATCTGATGTGAATGCTGCTTTGTCATCCACGTCAAGCAAGTGAGCATCACACGATTCCGAAGGTATTTAAAAGTCTTGTTTTGATTAAGTTGAAGTGTCTGGATAAAACTTTATGGAATATAGGGACCGAAATGACAAACGGGAACAAATACAAATATCTCCTAGGCTAATCTGCCTTATTTTCCTCCGTTCCCCTTTTCTTGCAAAATATACCCTTATAAAAGATTAAAAAAGTAGTCCTGTTTGAACCCCCAATCAGCACCTGTAGAGCTGCAAACGAAACCAAATAAATACTCTTATCCCTCTTCAATATTCTCTCACTAGGAAGCTTCCTCGAAGCTGACTATGGCCTTCTACTCTCTCCGCCCATTTAATCTCCCCCTCCTTCCTCTCTCCTTCCACTCATCCCCTCCTCTTCATTCTCCTTTCACCACTCGTTTTTCTTTCTCTTTTTATCCTCCATAACATAATGAAGCTCCTCAAAAACATCCCCAACAAGCTCTTCAAGTCCAAAAAATCCCGCTACATCTCTAGATCCGAAGACCCATCATTCGGGTCGGGCACAACCTCGTCTTGTTCCGATTCCGAGTCCCATCGCGGCTTCAAAAAACCCGATGGTCTTGCCACGCCAACCAGCGTGTTACCACCCAACAATATCTCAGCCGACGAATGGTCCGAAATGTTACAAGCCTTTCACATGATTGACAGTGACGGCGACGGGAAGATTCGGAAGGAACAGCTGGAAGCTATTCTTACCCGAGTTGGACCTGACCCGCCAAGCGAAGAGGAATTAATATCATTGCTTAATGAAGTAGATAGGAATGGAGATGGATGTATTAGCTTAGAGGAGTTCGGAGCCATTAGCTCGGCGTTTGGGCCGCCGGCTTGTGACGATGAACTGAGAAATGCTTTTGATTTCTTTGACGCCGATCACGACGGAAAGATAACGGCGGAGGAGTTGTTTAGCGTGTTTAGAACTATTGGAGATGGACGGTGCACGTTAGAGGATTGCCGGCGTATGATAAGAGGCGTGGATAAAAATGGAGATGGATTCGTATGCTTCGAGGACTTTTGTCTTATGATGGAACAGCAAAGATGATTGATAGAAAATAATTATCTTGATCTTGCTGGAAATAATTAAGTCCTTTGATTCTTTCCCTTTTTTTTTCATTTCTGGAAAAAGGATGTGTTTGTTTAAGAGTGGGGATTAATTAGGATTAATCGAACGGCTAGGATTGATCCATTTTGGAGGTTGTATCAAAATTAAATCGTAAATATATGGGAGAACAAATTCCTCCTTTTTTACCCATGAACCGAAATGGAATTGGCTTATATACATATATGTAATTTTAGGTTTACATTGTATCAACGTTATTTCTTTGTTGTTTTATTTATATTCTTCTTTTATCTTTTATTTGTATTTTAATGGAGCTACAAAAATGGGGGACGAGGAAAGATGTTTGTTTCATTATCGGTACCAAATTCATCTTGCACTACCAAGAAGGCATAAGCCACTGCTTCCAAGTTACAAATGTTTTATAATCATTAGAGTTTAACTTTTATATACCAAGCTTGGCCATTTACTTAAGGATATTGATAATCTTACTTGAATCCCAAAGAATTTTTTTTTTTTATAGATATTTAAAAGATAGATCTCTTACGAATAAAAGTAAATCTTTATTAAGTAAATAAAAGTAAATCTCTAATAAGTAGAAAAAGAGATAGGATCATCAAACTAAAAATAAGTTTTTAAAGACCCACGGAACCATTTGACCTATCAATCCATGCCTTTAACTTTATCTTCTTGATACAACCACCTTGAAATTGCATGTCAATTATTATTTGTGATTACAACATACAAATGGGCTTTAGCAATGTTCAAGTTACCAGCGCAAGCAGAATTTTCACCAAAAATAACAAAGATAAATACATGAACAAGCCAAGAAAATTTAACATTTAATTTTATAGATGTTATTTGTGGCTTGAATTATTTCGTTGTATTTGTAGGAAACCCATAATCCCTATAGGTTTAGGAAAACTCATTGTCCTAATAAATTTGGGAAAGGAAAACATATAGTCCATGTCAAATTGGGAAACCTTTCTCTTATATATTTGGGACCTTTTGGGATCTATATATAGGGGTTGTAGTTGGGGATTCTAAAGATTGTATTGTGCTTTTCTTCTCATTCATAGTGAAAAATTCTCTCTGCTTTTGCCCCGAGGATTAGGCTTAGCCGAACCTCATTAAATCCTTGTGTTGATTTTTCTTCTCTATTTGTTTTGTGTGTGATTGTGTGCTAGTTAACCCACGATATTCCGCAATAATTGGTATCAGAGTAAGGTTCGGGTTTCTACATATAATCTAGGCTTAAGATGTCTTCATCATCTTCAACAAAGTATGAAGTAGAGAAATTTGACGGGGGTTCTAGTTTCAGTCTATGAAAGATTATGATGAAATCGTCCCTGGTATTACAAGGGTTGTGGAAGGCAATTGATGAGGATTTTCCTGAAGAGATGAAGGAGACAGAGAAGGCAGACTTGAAGGAGAGGGCTTTGAGTGCGATCTTCATGAGCGTTACAGATAGCGTTCTTCGGGAAATTGCTGAAGAAACTTCTGCATCAACGACATGGAAGAAGCTGGAAGATCTGTATTCTAAGAAATCGCTAACAAACCGCCTCTACCTAAAAAAGAGGTTATACGATCTCTGTATGAATGAAGGTACACCTGTTAAAAATCATATTGATGAGTTTAATTCAATTATAATGGACTTAAAGAATGTGAATATCAAAATTGAGAGTGAGGATCAGGCCTTAATTGTGTTATGTTCTTTAGCACCGTCTTATGATACTTTTGCCGATACGCTGCTATATGAGAAAGACAGTATTTCACTAGAAGATGTTAGTAATGCACTAAAATCTAAAGAGTTGAAAAAGAGCTTTCCAGACAGCAGAATTGAGGGCGAGGGTCTTATGATTAGAGGAAGAACACAACAAAAGGACTTTAACAGGAAAAAGTCAACCGCCGGATCAAATTCTAGAGCAAGGAAGCAACACTGTTATGAGTGCGGGGAGCAGGTCACTACAAGAGAGATTGTCCTAAGATGAAGGAGAAAAGAGGAAGCAGAAAATAGATAATTCGGCAAATAGTGTTGACACTGGCAATAATTCTGATGATAGTGACTATGTAGGGGAAGTCTGTGCTGTGAGTTCTAGTCATGGGCAGAATTCTTGGGTTCTTGATTCTAGTGCTACTTTCCACATGTGTCCACACAAGAATTGGTTTGCAACTTACAAGCAAATGAGTGGGACTGTCTATATGGGAGATGATAATCCATTACCAGTAGAGGGGTTGGTAACATCAAATTGAGAATGTTCGACGGAATTATCAGAAACATTGAGTGTTGGCATGCTCCTCGGATAAAGAGAAATTTGATTTCTCTTTCGACTTTGGATGATCAAGGGAATAAATTTCACTCCGAGAATGGAATACTTAAAGTGTGTAAAGACTCCATGATACTCATGAAGGGCAAAATACATTCTAAATTGTATCATCTTTAGGCTAGTGTAGTTGAAGGGGAAGCTATTGTAGCTTCTGGGAAAAGTGATCTGAATCAGTCTCAGTTGTGGCACTTGCGACTTGGCCATATGAGTAATAATGGATTGTCTTTGTTGAGTAAGCAGAATTTGCTGAATGGGTACAAAAATCAAGTTTTGAATTTTTGTGAGCATTGTGTGTTTGGTAAAGAGACAAGGGTAAAGTTCATCAAGAAGGCCGAGCACAAAATCAGAGACAAGTTAGATTATATACACTCTGACTTGTGGGGTCCAAACAGAGTTCCCTCCAAGAGTGGTGCCAGGTATTTTATGACTTTGATTGATTATTACTCAAGGATGGTGTGGGTGTATTTTCTGAAAAGAAAAGATGAGGCATTTTCGATATTTGTTAAATGGAAGACGATGGTTGAGAGGCAGACGAAAAGAAAAGTTAAGCGTCTTCGAACTGACAATGGGTTGGAATTTTGCAATTCTGAGTTCGATAATTTCTGCACCAGGGAGGGCATAGTGAGACACTGCACTTGTGTCGGAACACCACAACAAAATGGTGTTGCAGAACGTATGAATAGAACGCTTTGTGATAGGGCACGAAGCATGCTTTCACACTCATGTGTTAGCAAAGATTTTTGGCTAAAGTAATCAATACAACTTGTTATTTATATATTAATATCGTAAGTATTAGGTATAACGGTTATTTTGGTATATACACTATATTTTGTTAAGAGTATTTTTTGGTAAGAAGAAAAGTCAAAACTGCTTCTGCTTCTGCTTTTGGGAAGAAGCTACTTTTTTCTACTTCTTAGAAACTGCTTCCGTTTCTTCCCAAAAATATTTTTTCCCCCAAAAAAGCTTGGTCAAACATCTCAAGTTGCCCACTTGGTGTCGGATCAGCTCGACAGGTCACTCAATAGTCTTTCGCGGAGTATCCTCTGTTTTAGTGAACCCTGGGAGTTGTCGGCAGCTCGACGATCTTTATTCCAAAGGTTTACCGAGGTGAAACTTTTGACATGTGTTTTTTTATTTATTTGTAGGTTTCTCTACTTCAGGCTCTTACGAGGGCCTTTGTTTGAGGTGAGGTTCTATAGTTTGATGGTTACTTATGTTCTCCTCTCCCCTTCTCCGGTAGAAAAAAAAGTACTTTTGAGAAAAAAAAAAGTACTTTTAAAAAAAAGAAGCACTTTTGGCCTCTTAAGAAGTTTGGCCAAATAGGCTATAAGTCTATCATAAGCTATATAAGCATGACGTTGTTCTTATTCATTGTTTATAGAGTCTTAAAATCATTTGCGAAAATGATTCAACTTATATATTGACAGTATACACAATGTCTATGATATGATTCATATAAGTTAGTTACTATTTATATCTGGTTATTGATTAGTAATATTTATCATAAAAAGTTTACTTGTAATTATCTTATACATGAACTAATTATTTAAATATGTAATATTTTAATAACTATCGCATAGAGCTTAAACTCGGGTGAAAAAACTTTAAAAATAACAAAATAATTAAGTTGGTTCACCAAACGTCAAATAGTGGAATTTTGGTAGAAGCATTTCCGTTTGTGTCATTTTCTACAAATTTCTCCTTTCATAAACTAGTGATTACATCTTTTACTTTTATTCTAAAGTTTTAATTAATATTACCTCACAATAGTCATGTTTAAAACATGAAGCATGGTTCTTATGCTATAAAATATTAAAGTTTAGTAATTTGACCATAACCAAACTCTTAATGCAAGCCAATCACTAACATTCCATTAGATTTGAGTGTTGTTATTTATTTCTTAGATTTGAATTTTAATGTTAATTTGTTTGATTGTGTCCCCCAGTACCAAAAAGAAAAAGAAGCTAAATCTGTGTATCTGATCATTTTCTTCAGTATTTTGTTTTCCTAAGTATAACTTTTATTTTTTATTTTATTTTTGATCTGTTTAGAGAGGTGAAGTGACAGTAACGCAAATCGTGTAAACCAACATTTGTGTATTACATCATCGCATTGATAAGAAGATGGGTGATATTTTGTTTGAATTATTGGAGCTGATAGTGACTATATTTAAATATTTAGGGGTTTTAGGTTTCAGAACATAGAAGATAAGCGCCCCATTGAACAAATTAAAATATTTATTAGTACTCACCCGTATATATTAATACCCCATTTTTTGCGGTAGCCACTAGGATTAAAAAAATATTTTGAGCACAACTTCTATGTTTTGTGCTATGAAGACTTTACGAGAAAAAACCCGAAAACTCGAAAAATTCGAGATTTAAAAATCCGAATTTTATTGGTATGGTTTGGTTTTTAGATTTAATAACCGGATACAATTGGTTTAATTTGGTAATTAGAAAATCCGAACCAACCCGACCTATGTACGGGATCGGATCCCCTCCAGTACTATTTTGTTCATTAATCTTCAATGGGGTACCCCGTGGTATGTGCCATGTGGACAAAAAAATAATCAATGGTTTGGGTTGTTCTATTATTCAAAATAATTTATTAGGCAACACTATTACTTTTAATTTCAAAATTCAAACTATTGAAGTAATTTTTTCAGATTAAAAAATATTGAGTGTGTGTCATTGTAGTATACAATTGTTTATAACTGTAACAAACTTGTATTCTGTTCCATTTTTCCGTAATTCTTTTTTTTGTTTGGCGATTTCCAATAATTCATTTTTTTGTTACCAATGTCAAAATCAACTAAAAGTTTTTCTTTCGGCTGAAAATTTAATCAAATAATGAATTTCATTACATACATAATAAATTCAAATAACACTAAAGTTTATAGAATAAAACTATATCAATTAGAACGTCAAAAATCACATGTTATGTCAAAAAGCATTCATTTTTTATACAACTAAACTACAATTAAGAAATACTTGGTAATGCATTATAAAGGAAATAAAAGTAAAA